AAAAAGGTAGGAATGTTTTCCATACTTTGCGAGAGATGCTTGTCTTTTAGATACAAATCGTTTTAGTTTATTTGACACCCATGGTTTATCACAAGCACGTACGTTTTGTTTTCTTAACGGGAAGTGAGTATTGATAGCCCTCATAATGTCTTTATAAAAAATGTTGAATTTATTTTGTGGGCCGACTTCATTGAAGAAATTGGTCCAAGACTTGTTACATATCCATCTGCCAAATGCACGCACGTTACTATCTTTCATTTCTCGCCTATAGACAGTTCTCTTACAATCTTTACGCTTATCCTGCACATTTTTAGGGTTGATAAGTACTGCATAGTGGTCGCTACTACCAATATTTGGGAGTTGTACTGGCTCATTAAATAATTTAGGTTTGTTCACAATACACCAATCCAATATGTTAATTATTGCCTCTTGTTGGTATTTTCACCAGTTGTGTAAGACCACAGGTCCTTGTAAACGAGGATATATTAGTACTGCAAGGATTAAAATCACCAGTTATAATTATTAGTGCGTCAGGGTACTTGTTAAGGAATGAATCAACGTTTAAGTTAATGTGCTCAATCAATAGATCATTATCCTCTGCATTCGCGGACGGTGGATGGTAAATTACACCGAATAAAATGGTCGATGTATGACGTGGGAGCCGATACGGTTTAAGATGGATCCACAATGTCTCCAGACCAGGGGCCGGTTGTACGAAAGGTGGATAACTTATCCAACGGATAAGTCCTATCCAACGGGGGCCGGTTGTACGAAAGGTGGATAACTTATCCAACGGATAAGTCCTATCCAACGGATAAATATGCTATCCAGTGGATAGTTATCCATTGGATAAAATCGTGTTGCACGAAGCGTGGATAGTGGAGTGGATAGCTATCCAATGGATAAGTTAAAAATTACCCGGAGAAAACAGGATTATCCTGAAATTTCGTACCACAACGTCAGCTGTTGCTAAGCATTTATAACATTGAATCATTCTGAATTGTCGATTAGTTACTGATTAAGTGATTTGCACTTCACATACTAGCGATTTTATTCAACACATTGCAATTTTATTCCTTGACCTTGCGAGGCTTTGCCCTTCGGTTCCATAATAAATTTAGGAACACTATTTTAAAGTTTTGATTGGCTAATCATAGCGAAGAACAAAATTCGTAGCCTTGTTGTCTTTACTTGTCTATTACGTGATTGAAATTGCTTAGATATTAGCAAGTTTCCATGGAATAGGTTTAATTTTCTTTGCATATTCGCTTTTATAAACTGGTTAGAAGTATATAATAAATTTACCGCCTGTTATCATTGTGAGGATGTCCAGAAAAACGCCGCTCGGAACGGAATGTGTAAACAAAATGAAATGCTGCTGCGACAAATATAACAATGGCTGGATTTCACTTCGAAAACAGTTTTAATAGTGAGTACAATCATGTACATTAGTTTGTTGAAACACAGTAATAGGAAACTTGCTTTTTTGTCCTTTTTCATCGTAAATGTTTACAGTTTTATCTTGTATCTTCGAGTTTATCCACTGGATAGTGGATTTAAACTACCTCCGGACCTTGGATAACTTTATCCAATGGATAGGGGTTTTTATCCGTTGGATAAATTTATCCAAGCTTCGTGCAACGCAAATTTCACGCTGAATAAAAGTTATCCGTTGGATAGCGACTTATCCGTTGGATAGCGACTTATCCACCTTTCGTACAACCGGCCCCAGGAGACTCCAATCTGTTCAATCTTTCTGCCGGGAGAGATTTGTGGATATAAACACAGAGACCGCCACCAGTAGCTTTATTACAATTTAGCCTGTCTTTCCTTATCAAAATATAGTCAGGAATATTGACTGCCCGGTCAGGAATTGCATCATTCAGCCATGTTTCAGTAATAGATACTACGTGGGCATAGTTGAGGTGGACAACGGTATCTAGTTCATCAATTTTTGACATTAAAGATCTAACATTTGCCACTGGAAGCCTATATAGATCTCGCTTGGACCAGTTCTAGGACAAGTCTAGGTAATATGTGCCACATTCACACTGTCTTTCTTGCTGATGGTATCGGCTAGCCAACATAATTGGCAAAATACTTGGGACAAGACCCAAAACACGCCGAAAATTGGTAATATTAGCATAGTCATCCTATTAAGTTGAAAATAGATCAGAACTATAGGAAAAATCCATTCACATTAGTGACATTACAAAAATCGTGCTCCAGGTCAGGTCCAGGCCACCTTCTTCTGTTTGGCCTGGATTATGTATATAGTTTTCAAGGTCATACTATTATCCACAGGGAATAATGTGGTCACATATTATAGACTATGTGGAGTGTGGACACGGTAACGTTTTCGAGCGTCTTTACATTTCATGCCAAAACGGTTTCAAATATACCGTCAATTTACAATAGATGTTGAAGTTAATTTAACGTCTGTTTTCTATGACCGTTGCTCTGATTATATGTAAATATTTCGAAATGGTGGGCTCTGGATTTTTCTAAAACATCTTCATTATAGTGGGCGCCGAGGTTTATCAGGCCGACACGAGGTGGCGTATATGCAAACAACGTGCGTTGGCGCCATATTGACGAATCTCGTAGCTGTAGCGGGAGCCGTAGTCAAATCTAAAGCTCCCTATATTCGTGTGTGTGTGGGATATCTTTGTACAAAGAATGTATTTAAACGATTAAACTTTTTAATACAATCGTATTAAACTTAAACGACGTTCTTTTCGTTCTACTAAAGGACAAACATACAATCCTAAGTCCGTTAATAGAACTTTGCATGCTCTGTGAAATCACTTGATCGAATGTGTGCCTTTTGACCTATCATGCACTCTATTCATGTAGATTGTTGTTTAAAAACTTAAAATACCATTCTTTTAAAAATTAATTTTTAACTGCATCTTTTTGGATGCACCGCCAGATCTTACGCTTTACATCCTCGACCAGGCTAAAAACACACTTGATCTTGATTGCTTCATCGTACAGCATGTATGTCCAGGAAACAATCTGACGTAGTCACTGCAAGCAATACGAATGAATCTTCTGTAACGTACCACGAAGTTTGTATTCAGAATAAAACTCGTGCAGAATGTATAGTTTGTAGTTAATACGATACTTTCTTTTACTCCGAGGATATTTCCGCAGTGTTTTAATGGGTTATAAATGCACTGATATAAGCTGCTCACTGCACTATTCAACTGCTTAATTTGATAAGCCATTCTTGGCCGGAAAATACCTCTTTTGTGAAATATGTTTTGTTTTGGAGTAGCCAAAGTTTCCCTGATTATCATGCGACATCTGTGGTACTTTCGTTGTCAGCTCTTGCATGAATAATTATTCCGAAATTTCATCCCTTACATCCTTACATCGTTTTGTTGTTGACGTACGTACTCGATGAACCACTCTCCAGTCCCCCCTCTCTGTTCCAATATTTCTGATTTTATTCACGGCATTGGCCAGTGTCGCCTGGAAAGTGTTTTACCACATACTGGAGTTCTCGCATTTTAACGCCACAGCCGACTGCCTTCTGATTACTGCATAAACCCTCTATTCTGTTGTAGCTGCATCACAGGTCACCAAAAGACGAGCTCGTTATGATCTGGCAACTTGAATGTTACGAGAGCGCATAAACGCTCTAAAGAAAATTTTCTGGCAAGCAAGCCCGACATTTAGAAAGTCGTACAATGGTTGGGCAACTTTCGTAAAATCCTTTAAGGTGTTTTCCAATTGCGAAAAATTTCCTCTCAGAAAAACTCTCAGGAAGTGAAATAATTTGCAACTTCTCGGGGACCCCGAATTGTGTATAAGGTTTTCTAAAAGTGTTAACAGACCTGGTAGCAAACGGACATACTTTTTTCGCCGACAGTTTAGCCCCATATCTTCCGGCTATGTCAATACTGCATGCGCGACATTCATTTGAATTGAATCAGCGTGGGTCTTATAAGTGAGTAGATTTCACTGATTTTATGTCATCGTTTATCACATGTATTCAGATTCGTTGTCCGAGTTACTTTACGGAAACATGCCTTTTCGTCGGCACTATATGGGTTTTCCTCTATATTTTTAGATACCTAGAGCCGTTGAAAAAATATTTGATAAGTTACAAAACAAAACATTTTATGTTCAGAGCGCGCAGTTACATGCAATTGACCTATAGTTTAGCGTGAAAGAAATCTGATTTACATGCATCTGAACTTGTAATTTGACATGAAAACCTATTTTCTTATCACATTTTGCAAATCGTAGCAAAATAAACCGTTCATAGCTGTATCTAATGGACCACTTGCATAATAGGCTAAACTCGCCAAGTTTGACTGCAAAATTTTGATATACCGAAGCGAAATTGGCAAATTTTGTATACTTTTGTATTATGGCCGGAAGAGTGTATATAACTACACGGTAAAAAACTCTAAACCTGCAGTTTATCAGCATGGAACAATTTTGTGCTGCCAATATTGTTCACACTAGTCACATTGAACAATATTGTTGAAAAAGGATCAGGTGTAACAATATTGTTCGATGTCTATAACAACTCTGAACATTATGGGCAGCACAACATTGCTCCATCCTGTTCATATCAATATTGCATCAATCTGATCGTTTTTGGACGTGTAAATTAGTTATAGAACATAAAAACCATGACCATGCAGCCGACGATTTAAAAAAGTAAAGTATGAAAATGAAATTCAAAAGACCAGACATTTTGAGAGTGCATGAATATATGATTCAAACAAGACATTTTTTACTTTATTTCAAAGTCGTCTTCAGACAGAAAGAAGATGACTTTTAAATAAATTCTGTCTGAAGATGACTTTGAAATAAAGTCGAAAATTTATATCCTGTCTCAACCTGTATCATTTAATCGATCACCCTGTATCATTTACTCGGGATGTCGTGTCTATTCGGAGTTTTTACTTGCACCCTTACTATACACTCTGTATATCACATGATGACTTCCAGCAGTAACAGGTTTCCCCCCATCATTTTAGATAAACGCTGATAATTTTGCTAAGAGGGAAATATATATGCTTCGTGTTAAATGTCGGACTGTAAAGAACGAAAAGGAATGCCCTTGGATCGGATGCCTGAAAGACGTTGAGGTAAATATGAAAATGGCGGGTTTTGATGCTTCTTTACTTGTTTAGTACAATTTCCGCTCGTTGGCATACCTATGCATTGTTCCTGCCGCGAGTTACCATGCAGCATTAACACAATCTGTGGATGCAAAAAACACCATATATACAGTGCTGACAGATGATAAAATATTTTTATATTATTTAATAGGAACATTTAAAAACTTGTCCATTTGTGGAAGCGCCATGTCCGAAAGGGTGTAATCAAAATGTAGAGAGGAAAGCGTTGGACCATCATTTGAAGAAGGAATGTCCAAAACGAACAACAACCTGTACACATTGCAAGACTGAAGTGCTCCATAAGAATTACAAGGTATAGTGTGCCTTTTATGTATTTAAACGAGTTTTCACTAGATATCCAACGAAATTGTGAATGATTCCCTGTTGGTTGCCTGGGGCCGCGGGAGATCGGAGAGTGTGTGTGTGTCGGGGGGGGGTGTTTAATATATATATATTCATATAATTTTATGTTATCGGACCGTAAAAACAATAAATTTCAAAAGACGAGAATAATGCTAAATGTGAATATATGAATATTTACCCCCCCCCCACAGGCGCCCCCTGATGCCTGACTTCGATTAAAGAAAAATTTATTCGAAGTGCAACTTACAACAAAATTATTTTAGGAGATTCAGAGGTATATGGTTTCTAACAAGTGGTCCTAATTATTTACACTGTATTTTTTAAAGTAGACAAGACATGCACATGGCTTTAAATGTCCTCCGCCATTTTTGAATCCGTGGGATTTTAAAACCCTATTTTTAGTGCCATGCATGTGCGATTTTTTCCTTATACCCATAAAAGACGTAGCCCATAAAAAAGCAGGGAAGTTTGTTAATATTGATATTATTGTGCACAAGATAATTCTGAAGTGGCTCACAAGAACAGCCTCGTCCCCGAAAAGTCATATTTCAAAACGGATTGTAACGTGGGAAGGACGATATATAAGTAATGTTCAAGAGCCCCCCCCCCAGCCTTTAATAACGGGTAGATTTACCCTATATTTGACAGAATGATATTATCTGTATATTAAGCAATTTTTCATATTTTATTTCTGTATTATTCACTTCTTTTTATTGACCTTGTAAGGATCATTATGGAAAGTGCCAAAAAGTAGTTGTTCCTTGTCCCAATTGTAAACAGAAGATGCTGCGAGAAAAGGTATATTTATGATTTTTGATATTATGTTTCTTCTTTTATATTTGTATTTTTCTAATGTTGACTTGTATAAGCCCTGACATGCATGATACAGACCAATCGATGATTCCATATAGAAAAAGGCCGCCATTATTCGATTATATATATAAGGGCTTTTCTCAAAGTGCCTATACCATGGTTGGATTTTAAATATATCAAAAGTTCCAGGTATTTTAAAAAACTTTGCAATACATTTTGACAATGAAATGACAAATCGGAAATTGCAAATGAGTTTCCTTTTGTTTAGGTTGCAGGAAATTCCCGATTTGACGTCATGTCTGATAGCTTTAAGAGCTAATAAATCCATCATGAATCCAAAATTTTTCAATAACAAAATGTATTGGAAAGTTTTTAAAATATCTTAAACTTTTGATATATTCAAAATCCGCAATCATGGTATAGACACTTTAAGTAAAAAAAGAGCTAGAATAAAAGACTCTTCTTTTGCTTTTATGAGTGGTCTGACTACTTTTATACTGGTGTTGCATGCAATTAGATTTTACAATTGACAATCTTCAGAATTATTGCTCACAAAATTATCTTATTTTCATTCTTTTAAATAAGGTATTTCGAGACTAAATTAATCATTCAACGAATCCTTATGTACCAATTTAGATTTGCTTTATCTGTGAGGATTAAAATTAATCGTATTTTGAGAACAAAAACCTTTCATGCATGGTCTGGCCGTTATGCATTGTAATTTGTAATTAAAACAAGACGCCTGTTCTGGCGTTAAATCCGGCGTGCCGCGCACGTGCCAGTCTTCAATATAAAGCTTCTGGACATAAACAATACAGTTCATACTCATTTAGATGCCTTTTGAACTTAAATGTTGTTCGATCGCGAAATTCAGAAGCACATCGTACTTTAAAAATTATAGAAGTTCATGCAATTGTTCAAAAATCAGTAAATAAACCGCATGATTCGTTCACTTCGTCTTACACTTTCCCTTTGCAGCGATATTATTTAAAATAGAATCAGAATATACATGTACTAAATACATTCTCACCCCAATTAAATCTAAACTTAATCGAACAGCATAAAAAAAAACGATTTGTTCCTCTTGGAGGAATTGCCATTTTTGTTAGCAAAACTAAGCGATGTTCTGCGTGTGTGCATTGTCCCTAAAACAACGAAATAAAATTACTTTCAATATTTTCAGTTGGTTGCTGGACATGAAAAGGAGTGTCCCAAAGGACAGGCTGTGTGTGATTTTAAATCGTATGGATGCAAGTGGACGGTATTTATATTTAACAAATTTATTCAGATGCATGCTTGCTATTCGGGGTGTAAAAAAAAAGCAACCACAGTAAATATTCATGATATTCGCTTTCTATTCGATCACAAAAGATGGAATATCATGTGGAATACTGTGTTTTTTTTACACCCTGTACACATGTGTAAATTAATATAACCAGGTGGCGTTCATCCTTAATCTTTGGCTTATTGAACACACCAACCAAGGAAATGCTGTTCCAAATTATTTATTATATATCCAGTCGTTTAAGATCGCTATAGATTAGTATATCATCAATCTAAAGATGATATTCTCTATTCAGATCATTTTCTGTGTAAGTTTTCTATATAAACCATGCACACGACAAAACGTGTTGATTTATGTTGTGCAACGCTGAATTGGGAATCGCGATATGCACCCGGTGTATACTGGTTACAAATGTACTGATTTTCTGTCCGTCACCAGTTGTATAGTGTTCCCAGAGCTTTGCAATGCGCGTGATTGCAAACACGAAACAGCCTTGTTATTTTGATATGCTGTTAAAACACAACTATGCATGTGCACTTTATTAACCTTCGCTCGTTGAAACTCTTTACTGCTTCTCCTTGGGGAGGTCCATTTGTTCTTTTTATTCAATATCCTGCTGAAAGATATCCTTATTGGCTTCATTGACTCAGGATGAGCCGATTTCGTCTTTATTATTTTAATATGTTAAGTTTAAACGATTTATCAGCATTCTAAATCTTCGAACAGATAGGCAACTAAATAATATGGCGGTTAATATAATAAATAATGTTAATTTATGTCAAGAGTTTCTACATTCATCATATTATTTATAGCATTACGGGTACTGAGTTGCTGGATAGAATACTCACTACTTACCAAGGTTCGACTGACAAAACTTAAATGTTCTTGAATGTTCATAAAATTGAGATAAAGGCGTTGAAAGTCTCTCGTTGATTTCTAATTAGAGATTCTATTCGGATTTAATGTTATTTTCTCAACGCATTATATTCTCTAACCATGAACAAAAATTTTAAAGTTCTTTGATTCAGTCAACTGAAGGTCTTGACTTTTAATCTTTGAATTTTCCGATATATGTATACTTGATAGTCAGTGAAACGTTCTTGAATCTTACTGCTCTTACAATGTACGAAGTACGAACCGCGTTAATAAAGTAACGAAACGTTTCCACCAAATTCATTCGTCAGGATAGTCTTTTCTATAATGATATTATACCTGTTATTATTGACGCTGGTATTCTAGGGGCAGCGATTTAATCTCCAAAACCATCTAAACAACGAAATACAGTTACATTTGTCCATGCTGTGCGCTGCTTTAGCCGTATTGTTACCTCAAAACGGAAAGGAAAAGAGCAAAGGTGCTGCCAGTGGAGGTGCTAGTGCAAGTGCAAATGGCAATGGTACTGTGAGCGGGACCGTCTTAGAGGAGTTCAATCGTCAACGTAACAAAAACACTGAGGCTATTGCAACTTTGGAAGCCAAGCTGGTGGAAATGGAGCGAAAATATCGTGAACTAAGAGGTGCATAACTTGGCTTCACAACGAATGCTTGTTTCGCGCAGGCGAGAAATATTGGAATGCCTGATCCAAAAAAAGACACGCGAAAACACGCGAATGGACGACTTGCGCTTTAGACTAATTTTTTATCAAAGTAACTAGAGGAAAATAAATCACCACAGCTAGAAAGATCTTACTTAAATTAGTTCAAATGCAAAGTTTGGCTGCGAGATTTTGTAAAATACGGAAAATATAGCCATGCGAAGTTGGCATATTTTGTATACTTTTGTATTACGTGCATGCGGAAATGTGTAACTAAATTAGTTACAAAATTTCGGCCGCAATACAAAAGTATACAAAATTCGTCAACTTCGCATGGCTATATTTTCCGCAATTTACAACAACTCCCAGCCAAACTTGGCAGTTTTACTAATTTTAGTAAGCTCTTTCAGAAAATATCCTTTTTATCGCCGATGTAAGAAATTAGTCTAAAGCGGAGCTTTTCTTTTTAGGCCATCCAAACACGGGAAACCATAAAATAATTTTTTGTAAAATAACAACAAGTTATTCCTCCATGTTCTATTTCAATGAGCTAATTGAATTTCCTTGTTTGGATGGGCCGTATTATCACTGTTTCCATAATTATATATATACTATGTGATATGTATGACAAACTGCGTCATCCCTGACGAAGACCACAATATAAAAATTGGTATAATTATCGACACATTTTGTAAAATTAAAAAACGTGGTTTTTGATGAAGAAGGAAAACCATATGTTAAAGCTGGATGTTAAATCTAACTATATAGGCCGCACTGAAAGACAACAAAGGGACAATGAATCTGGCGTGACAGCTTTGAAGAATACTGTAATTGATCTGGAAGCACGTATGTGCAATGGAGTCTACCTGTGGAGGATAGAGGGGTATCCAACTCATCTAGAAAACGCTCGCGAGAATGTTGTTACAGCATTGCACAGCCCTCCATTTTACACCAGTTTTTATGGCTACAAGTTATGCCTCAGGTATGTTTATGTGAACTTATATTAATTGCGTGCAAAAGATATTCATCAGAACAAGAATTCAGTGTAATTTTACATGGTATTATTTGTTATTTAGTACTGAAGTATAATCGATTAATTCGTTATCTTAGTACACCAAAAGGGATTTTATAGATCTCTAGCCAGGAATTGTACACATTTGTCATCAAATTAATTGGTATATCATAGTTCATAACAGCGTTTAGGAATACGTAAACGAATATGGTGGCCTAGACTTTATGTTTTTTATTCATGGTAACTTCGTAACACAGTAAGTTCTCTCAAGAAGTTAATTCGTCATTCTGGCTCGATAAAAATAAATCCACAATATTTGTAAGTAATCGTTTAATTTAACTATATTTTGAATCTAGCGAATGTGTATTGATTGTTCGCTCAATATGTTAGCATGCCGTCAATGAATGAATAATTGGGCTGTTAAAGTTTGAGGAGTGTATATAGCTATTATTATTATATGATGCTACGAATTGTTTCGGAAATTGTTCACTGCTTAACTTGCATGGGTCGATTTGTTTGATCGGCTAGATTTAAAACAGAAGCAATATTTAACAGCATTTTCGTCGATTGCTGGTGTAAGGGGAACGGGACACCGGCCTAAAAACTTAGTTAAAATATGTCAAATCTCGTTTAGAATCAACCCAAACGGAGTGGATACTGGCTATGGTACTCATGTTTCTTTGTTTGTTCATATGATGCAGTCACCCTGGGACGATACTCTGGAGTGGCCCTTTTCAGGCAGGATCTCCCTTTCCATTCTTGACCAAAGTGATGATGGAGATTACAAACGTCATATCAGCGAAACGTTGGTCACCAGGCCAAATCTTTTGGCATTTCAAAGACCAACCACTCCCCGAAATCACAAAGGCTATGGATATGTGGAGTTCGCCCATATCGAGACATTGCAGGATCGGCAATACGTTAAAAATGACTGTCTTCTGGTTCGCGTTCAAGTTTTTCAGTGAATCAAGCGTTATAATACTTATATATCCGATAAAATACAAAAAAACTTTAACTACAAAGATAGAAATAAATTTATTTCGACATTTTGTCCATATTTTAGTCATCGCCAAGAAACAACGCTTAATGCTTGAAATAATATATGACATAGAAAGTTCAGATGTTTCGTATACCAATAAAAAGATATGTAAATGCTAAAGTTAAACCCAGATCTGGTAGCATGCAGAACCATGAATCTTTATTATTATTACTATTACATTTAGTTTATTTACAATATATAACCACGCCTGTCTAACTCACAATCTTCCTGTTTGAAGAACTCGCTGTAAACCCGCAAATTTCACTAATCTCCATAATTGATAAATGGTCGTTAATGTCATATTACCTCACTACTATTAGCACATGCAAATGTATTATGTCAAACATGAGGCATTATTTCCTGACGATGACTAAAAATATATTCGGGGCGTTGAAATAAATTTTAAAACAATTTCTGTCTCTGGAGTGTACTGTTCTTTTGTATTTTATTTAATTACTTTGTGATTGTAAAATGTTCGTCCTGTCTGCGTAAAATTCGTGATTATTTGATATATATATTACTCTGTTTCTCGCGAAGATGAGATTTTGTGAAAGGGCAATACCGAAAGTGTTATGGTCACATTTAAAAAACGTTTAAAATCCAGAGAATCTTGTTACAGGGTTTCCATATTTTGTGATGTTTTGTCAAAATGAAGGATTTTGTCCAAAAAGGATTTAGAAATTGTCGGCTGATTAATTCTCAATTCGTTATTTAACTTTCGTTTGGAGTTGAGCCTTAAACTATACAATCATGATTTGTAAACCCGTAAAAACGTTATTGTGTTTTCTGCATGTCTCTCGTCGAGAATGCGGTTTATTGCTTCGACAAAATCGGTCATTTTTTTGTTTCAAACAAACAATTACCGCCGTTTTTAGCCCTGTGTGTGGTCTTGCGTTATGTTTGCGAATCATATTTACCAGTGAGTGATATTTATCGCTTAAATTTAGCTTTTTCGTTGGTGAATTCGAATTTGAGGTGTAATATTGTAGTTTGAGTATAATTACAAAGCCAAAGGTGACCACTGAAAATTCTGGCTTCTGATTGGTCGATCGACCTCGGATTATTATGCAATATTCACCTAAGCGGATTTTTCAAAATGCCGGCGAGCTGTTTTTGTCAAAGGTACAGGTGAAGAAATAAGTTATTTTAACGAAAATACTGTACTAAAAAGCACAAAAGATTTGTAAGAATTAGGCATAAAATTATTTCGAGGTAAAAAACTACGTTTTCGAGTGCCTTTTAACTTTATTTTGCGAAAATATTACTTTATTTAAATCGCCCTAAAACTGTCGAGAGGTTTGTTTACCTTTGCAAAACTTTTTTAAAAAAATTACCTTGCCCCAACACCTGACGTCATCGTGCATATCCTCGTTAATCTAGAACGGCGGACAAACAACTTATTTCTTTAAAATCCTTAACCTGTGACAGGATTTCCTACATACTTGGATTTCCAGTTGAGAATGGAATTGCGAAAGTTTGTCGGTAAAATTTTCTACTTTGAAAATAATTGTGTGACGTCATCAATAATGTTAATTGGTGACGCTCACCAAGTTGTGAAAGAAAAACTGTCATGTCTGTCAAGTTTTTGACTGTTAATAGAAGACGTGAATAGCGATGAATAGCCGCTATTTCTACTTTGATTTTTCCCTTAACAACTTGGTGAGCCTCACGTAGTAACATTATTCGATGGCGTCACGAGCATTGTTTTCAAACTAGAAAATTTAACGAGCAAACTTTCGCAATTCCAGACTCAACTGGAAATCGCAGTAATATCAAACGTTCTTCAAAGTGAGTTCGCTCCGAAAAGTCATGTTGTCTAGAAAACAGTAGTTTTTTTAAGGCGATTTTCTTATCATTCACTTTCGTAACATTCTAAATTTTGATTGGTTGATTTACTAGCAAATAACTGCGTGCAAATAATAATAGTTAAAATGTTCGAAATAAGATCTACAAACATTTATGACCGTCAGCACAACTTTTTTGTGTTTTTTGGCGCGTTAACTTGGTTGGCTTTATTAATCACATTTGACTTTAAACGTTACGTTACAATTGTATTTCAAATGTGATAAACATGCTGTATAAACCATAAAAATAATACACATAGAATGCGCGCTGATACCTCTTCCCTAATAAAAATTTGTCTCCAAATAAAAGTTTTTTTGAATGATTTCTCACTCCTTGCGAGATTCAAAATGGCGCATTAATAAGGGTACAGCATGAAAAAATGTGGGACACGTATTCGTGATAAGTACGCATTCTGTTATTATTTCTATGGTATAAACCCAGTAAACGCACCAAAACAGTACAAAAAACGTTGTGTCAGTATAGGTAATAGTATAATTTCGAGTGCAATTACGGATTAAAAAGCACGAGTGAGTTTAAGGCTGCAAAATAGCGCAAGTTTCGAAAGGCGAGCGTTATTTGCAGTCTTTAAAAACTCACGAGTGCGTGTTTATCCGTAATTGCACGTGAGAAATTATACTATTACGTATTAATGATATGCAAGGAAATCTTTGAGAATATATTTGTAACAGGATTTTGCACTGTTGTTACAGAAATTTGCACTGTTACACATTTTTGCACTAATGTTTGGGATTAACTGCACTGAAATCAACCAATAAGGGTCGAGAAACATTTCCTTGTATATTATTAGACGTGATAATTGTTTATACGTCACGTTTATAACAATTTAGATTTCAAAGTCAACGTAAGAATTAATTATTACATTTTTTAAAGGTAAACAAACGCGTGAAAAAAGTTCACGCGTCATGCTCGAATGTAAGTATTGAACTCGCTTTTTGCAAAATATTGTTATTTGCTAATGTCTCGCAAATCTGCTCACCATCGACATCGACAAATGACGATATTTTGGTCGACCTCGTCCAACAAGTGATTGTTAGTTGCCATAAACCGACGCTGACTAATTCTGATTTGGGTTTCCTCGTTTGTCAAAAGAATATTGAAGATGAGAAGAATAAAGGGTGCAAAACTTGTTGTTGTCCGTAAGTTTAAAACCTTTCGCAAAGCAGAATCTTCCATCTTAGTTTATACAGTGGAAAAATTTATATTTATACGATCTAGTCTATAGCTGATAACTAAGAATTATTACCATTCAAGACTTCAAGTAGCATGAACAATAACGATACAAAAATGAATATGATAAATGCATTTGGATGTAGCTAACTGCTGTGTGTGAATATATGTAGTGAAAAGTCAACTACATAATTTGAGCAACAAATTTTACAGTTGCACTATACTGACAGGGTCACAGAACAGTGGTAGTACCATTGCCAGGCTTTTGGGGTTCAATTTTCCACTGCAGAGAGAGGGGTCGGATGAAGATCACTTACTTTCCATCTAAATTCTAAATTTAAAACGTTGTGGCGTTAAAATCTTGTGACGTAATTACCGAAAAGGTGATGGTGCACAGACGAAAGCACAGGCTGAATTCAGCTTTTTTTGCAGGGTGTACACGACGCTCGTGCAAGGACGACAACTGCACGTTTTCTCTATGCTCCCAAAGGTTGAATGATAAAGATCAAGATGTGGTCTCGAAATCCTCTCCGCCACCGAACTCGGAAGAACTTTGCCACCCAGGGTGTGACCTGGCGTAACCTCAACTTTATTTTTTTTTCACAACTTCATTGTCATATATATTCTATATTATTATTATAATTATAACTGTTGCGTGATGTTATGTGCTGTGGAATGTTAGGTGTGTCGTCCAATGTCAAAAGTTACGAAATAAGATTGATTATTATGTTGAAGGAATTAATTAGGTATATAAAAATTGATGTAAACTGGGTGTAGCAGTTAGTGTTGGCTATAGATTAAGAAGGATAAAGGTTGTAATATTGATTGTATAATAAAGTTGTTAAAAAATGTCACTGAAGTGTGAACCAGCAGAGGACTGAAGTCCTCAACATTTATTGAATAACAATACCCAAGCGGCCAGAGTGCGAACTGGTCCCTAAGAGCCCTGCGAGGCAATTCTCCCGTAATTATCAGCTATAGTATTGCACAAACACACACACACAAACTGACACATATATGCACATAACGCAATTGCCAGACTTTACAAGCGATCGAACCACCTTGCACGTGCAAATAAAATTTTGAAACGCATGAAAGACCTAGTAAAAGTAAAATTGACTTATACGAATATCAGTAAATGGAACGATGATCGTAATGTAATATCATGGCAATTAATTATATTTACGTAACAAATCCTGATGACAGGAACAATAATAATAATAATATAATAATACAAATTATTTATATAGCGCAAATTCCCTAAAGTCCATTTGCGCTTTACAGCATATAAATTATAACTAATTACACAGAACTTACTAAACTAATTTAAAAATTTAATTACAATGCAACTACACCATTTGCCCTTCATTAAACAAAAAAAGAATTGCATTAACATAATTTAAAATATTCAGAAATACAAATCGGAATCTCAATAGCACATTTTGTGCAAGTCAATAAGCGTAAAAAGATATTCAATATTAACAATTTGCTTGGTCATGCGTTAAAGCTGAAAACCATTAATCAAAGATGGAAATTCAATAAGAATACAAAGAACATTCAAAAACGCAAAATACATTTTCGTTTGAACACAATAAACCTTCAATTAGAGAATAAAGTAATTTCATTAAGGTTGTTATGAACACAAATATATACTCGTAAAAAAGCGTTGCGCAAGCGGAAAATGACCCAATCCAATTTTTGGTTAGTTACTCATTTGCATTGGGAATCTTTGATAAAAATAGTTTCGTTCAACATCATCTTGGGCATTTTTGCGAGTTTGTTATACGTTGAAGTACTGTCAGAATGGCACAACGTCGAAGAATATCACAACAAGACAAAGAACGGTTGGTTAGAGCATTCGAAGAACAGAATCAAGACTACCTGGCTTTGGCTGAAACTTTAGCAATAAATCGTTCAACTGCCAGGAGTATAGTTGCTCGATATCTGCGAGAAGGACGAATTGAAGAACAACCACGTGGAGGACGCCTCAATGTTCGATTTGATATTTAAGTTAACTGATTCACGAGAGATAAAATATCGTGTTATTTAATTTTGACTTATCCACCATTTAAGTAAACAGGCTTGATACAACCGCCCCTGCTTGTCAATAAACCCATGTTGTTGTTAAAATTACATTATTCTGTAATTGAACGTTTCTTGTGTTCAAAGAAAACGTCTTTTGTGTTTTTGAATGTGCTTTGTATTCTTATTGAATTTCCATCTTTGATTAATGGTTTTCAGTTTTAATACATGACCAAGCAAATTGTTAATATTGAATATCTTTTTACGCTTATTGACTTGCACAAAATGTGCTATTGAGATTCCGATTTGTATTTCTGAACATTTTAAATTATGTTAATGCAATTCTTTTTTTGTTTAATGAAGGGCAAATGGTGTATTAAGACTGATTAAAAAGATGAGTCTTAAGGAGTTTTTTAAAACTATCTAGATTGTGGCAGTTTCTAATATTGTCCGGTAACGAGTTCCACAGAGTTGAAGCTGAGACAGAAAAAGCTCTGAAACCATAAGTACGTAAATTATACTTGTTTATAATGAGCAGATTTTTGGAAGATGACCTTAAGGCCCTCTTTGGTACATATGGTTTAATTAATTCTTGTAAATACATTGGTGCCATATCATGCAAACACTTAAAAGTTAAAAGGATAATTTTAAAATTTATTCGTTGGTCAATAGGCAGCCAATGCAATGCTCTTAAAATTGGTAAAACATGATCATATCGTTTGGATAAACTGACCAGTTTAGCCGCGGCATTTTGCACACTTTGGAGTTTATGAATCATCCACTTAGGTAAACCATAGAATGAAGAGTTGCAATGATCTAACCGTGATGTTACAAATGCATGGACTAGGGTTTCAGCAGCTGTCTTTGATAGATACTTTCTTATTCTGCTAATGTTTCGTAGATGATAAAAGCTCGACTTGCATACGTCGGTAATATGTTGCCTCATGGACATACTGCAGTCGAAGAGCATGCCAATATTCCGAACACAGTTCGATGGTATGATTTCTTCACCAGAAACCGATACCGAGGATACAGATGGTTGGGGACGATGTCGAGCACTGAGAATTAGAAGTTCAGTTTTATCTCTATTCATTTTTAGCATATTTAATGTCATCCAGGAATCGATGTCGGAAACACACGCTTCGATCTTTGATTTTGCAAGATCCAATTGGCCATCCATCGATGATTTAAAAACTATATAGAGTTGGGTGTCATCTGCGTACAGATGGAAGTTTATGCCATGCCGTCGAATGATGTCTGCCAAGGAGGAGGTATAGAGCACAAATAGCATAGGTCCCAAAATTGAGCCCTGTGGGACACCGCACTTCATATCATATGAACTCGAGGTTTGTCCATCGACCTTGACAAATTGTTTGCGGTCCGATAGATAGGATGAGAACCATGCTAAAACTTTGCCTTTAAGCCCAAACCTTTTGTCCAATCGGGAAAGTAATATTTGGTGATCTACCGTGTCAAAAGCAGCCGACAAATCCCGTAATAATAAGATCACCGAAGACTGATTGTCTAAGGCTAAGAGGATGTCATTTTGAACTTTAATTAAGGCAGTCTCAGTGCTATGATTCTTCTTATAGGCAGACTGGTATACTTCATATAAGTTTTTGTCCTTAATAAAAGTATCAACTTGGGATGCAACAACTTTTTCGACGACCTTTGATAGAAATTTCAGATTTGAAATCGGTCGAAAGCTTGAAAATTCTTCGTGATCTTGAGACATTTTCTTCAAGGATGGCAGCAAAAGTGCTGTTTTCAAATTTGATGGCACAACAGCATGATCCAGAGATAAGTTAACAATATCCCTTATTACAGGAAGTAATATATGACCACACTTTTTGAAAACAGAAGCTGGTATTGGATCCAATTCGCATGACTTACAAGACATTTTATCAAGTAACTCGCCAAGATATTCGGATGTGACAGGAGCAAAGATCGATAGCTCAGCTTGAGTTAAGGACGGTGCATCATAATCGCGATCAATGTTATTTAACGACACTTGGGTCAGCAAAATTGATCTAGTGTTAGTGATCTTGGAACTAAAGAAATCCGCAAAATCATTTGCTAAGTGTCCAGAGACACTATTCGAAGGATAGAGTTTTTCTGCTTTCCTATGGAGCATTTTGTCCACGGTGCTAAACAGATTTCTTTGATCAGATCTTAAATTGTCAATTAAATCACCATAAAAAGTCATTTTTGAATGAAATATCAGATCATTAACTTTAATACACTGCCTTACATTCAAATCTCTATCAGCCAACTTGTTGGAAGAGCGCCAACGCCTTTCGAGTTTCCTTTTGGTGATTCTCTGTGCATGAATTTCGTCTGTGTACCAAGGTGAAAAATCACGCAGTGTCTTAATTTTCTTAAGTTGCGGGGCATGAACATCTAATAATGATTTTAACACAGATTCGTATTCTTCAACAAGTTCATTTATTTGCGATGACCGAGATGGCTCAGAGATCAGAGATGATCTTTCAAGATCCGCACAGAAATTTTCATGATTTATGTTTTTTAGCCTCCGGAAATAAATTTCCTTTCTCGGTCTCTCTGGTTTCTTGATTAGGACATTCACATTTATGGCGAAGTGGTCGGAAATACCTGGGTGAGTAATGTATACGGAATCAGCGATGTTATCTTCGCAACGAGTAATGATTAAGTCCAAGGTATGACCATATTTGTGAGTAGGCTTCCGAACGTGCTGCTTAAGATTGAAAGAATCGATCATATCTAAGAACTTCACCGCTTGTGGATTGTTTTGATCATCTACATGAAAGTTGAAATCTCCAGCGATAATCAAGTTTCCAGCATCGAGAATAATTTGTTCTAAAACAGCTCTGAATTCTGACAAAAATATGTCCCACGTGAGGCCATTTGATGTAGATGGCGGCGGCCTATACACAACAGTAGGGAGGTTAAGATCTACTTCCACTACCAGTACCGATACAAAAATACATGACGTATTACTGTTTGGCGGCGCGGAAACTTTAAAGCGTTAAGATTGTGACTTCCGTAAGAAGTAAATAAATACGGCGGAGTATAGCGGCTATATTCACATCAAAAACTCTAATCACAATCCTTAAGTCTCAACAAACAAAGCAGAAACATTATACAACTAAAAACTGAATAATATCATTAGAAAAAACTGCAGGAAATGCAATAATACAGTAAATATAATTCGGTACTTCGCCTACCTATCCACTTCCATTTTCAGCCCCAAAACGGTACTCGCGACTTCCGGTGTTATCACATTTTGGACGATTGTTACGTCTGCGCATGCGCGTGACTGAATATTGGTATCTGTACTCGTAGTGGAAGTCGATCTTAACCTCCCTATTAGAAACCCTCGAGACCGTATCTATATATTCAAACGATTTGAACTGCTTTCGCAAGTTTAACTTAAAAGCAAAACTTTTTTGTAGATCAATGCGACTCCACCACCTCTAGACTTCCTACAATCGTCCACATAATATCTGAGACAAAAACAACCCCTCCCCCTATTTCAATGTTGTTTCTAATATAACCTGTTCAACCTTAAAGTAACGTATTGGGAATCAATGGCTACACATGCCCGCGTCATTTTAGGGCAAATTCACACTTCGTTAGCGTTAGTACATGTCCCACAACATTGAAATAGGGGGAAGGGGGGCATAATTTGAAAAGTCTCAATATATTTTGTGGACGATTGTCTTAAAATTGGCTAAAACTTAGCTATAAGAGCTGCACAAATTATATAAACATCATGTAGAATGTGACATAGAACTGTCACTATCAGCTGTTGTGACTGTACCTTGACACTCTAGCTCTTCAAATTTGTGAA